TTCCTATCCTGTGCTCCTTACACCATGACATACCTACACACCCACCCAAAGCCCTCACTGTCCACTGAAATCGTTCTACACCTACCTCTGAAATCCTGCCCTGCCTTTTCAGATACTTTAGCACATGCTTAGGATCTTGTTCTCCATTCATTTGCTATCTTTCTCCAAATTTCAACGTCTATGCTCATTGCCTCCCACATCCTTCCTGTGACATCCACTCAACGAATCATTACTAACCATTTATCTTTCTACTAACCATTTCTCTTACTAATCACTAAGACATGTTTGTTTACTATTCCGATATTTACAACTCTGGCTTCTCATGTAAGTACTACTTGTTTTGCTGGGTTCCTGAGAGGATTAAAGATGATGTACACAAAGTGCTTAGAACAGTGCCTGGTATGTGATAGACAGTCAAGAAACAATAAGGAACAACAATCATTATTTTATTTCTTGCTTCCTTGAACCTTCCAACACATCCACTGTCAATCATTTGGCCAATTCTTTCCCTCTGTATAAAGTCCACAATGAATGGATGTAAGATAAATATTGGCTATCCTAGTCAATCTTCATCTCTGACTTCCAAATATCTAAATCTTCTTGTTCTTCCACTCTCTAACAGTGGTTCTCAACTCTTGCTACATGCATGTTAGAATCTTGCTACATGCATTCTGAGATGGAGCTGAGGGCTTTGTTTTCTTTTTCAGCTCCCCATCCTCACCTTGCCCCAGTCGTTTTTAAAGCATACCTAAGACAGATGCCTACCGCCAAGAAATTCTGATCTAATAGATCTGGAGTAGGGCCCAACCTCACCTGCATTATAAAAACTTCCCAGAAACACTGGATGTGTAACTAGGGTTCAAAACCAAGCTCTAACTCAGCTCTATCCGACACTTTTTGAAAATTCCAATTCACTGACCTGAGCAGCATCTGACAGACCAGCCTCTACTCCAGCAGTCTCGAACCTTTTTGGCACCTGAGACCAGTGTTCCTATGTGAATCTAATGCCTGATGATCTGAGATGGAGCTGAGGCAGTGATGCTAGCGCTGGGGAGCAGCTGCAAATACAGACGAAGCTTCGCTTGCTGGCTCACCACTCACCACCTGCTGTGTGGCCCAGTTCCTAACAGGCCACGAACTGGCACTGGTCTGTAGCCCTGGGGCTGGGGACTCCTGCTCCACTCCATATCAGATTTTCTCAGGATCATCATCTTTTCCTTCTCTGAGGAGGAAGACTCTATACCAAAAGTACCCTTAGAACACATGCTTTAATCCCAAATCTCTGATTTTTTTCCCCATGCCTCCTCATTATTAATCATCCCATTCCCTCCTCCCCCAAATTCTTGTAATCATCACAGGCTTCTTGTCTGATTTCCACAGACTGGGAACACCAGGACAAAGATCTCATCTGCTTCATCTCTGTACAGTGAGCACACAGCACGGTCCAATGCAAGAAATGAGTTTACTATTGATTCATCCAGTTCACTGCTTTCACCCTTGGCAAACTAGGCTCAACCAATAGCCACGCCAAGGTGTTCTCTGAGAGTTCACCAACGACCTAGCTCTTGTTCTCACACTGAACATTTAGCACTGTTTTGAATCATTTATAGCCCAAGGAGAGGCTATGCTTCCTTATCTTTGTTTCTCCCAAAGTGCCTAGTGCTGTGCCTGGCACATAGTGATAAATCATTAAATGTTGGACAACTTAAATAAATTTGGAGGCCAACATCGCTATCGTTCCCAGAATCTTTTTTTCAAAACAAACTGCTCTTAAAAAAAAAAAAATACAAGCACCTCACCAAAATACCTTGGCCAAAGGCACGAAGGCGGGTACAAGGAGGCCTTCTTCATCGTGGCGTTAAAATAGTATTAGCATTTTAACCAAGTAAGATCCAACCTTGGGCCTGGGACTGGAGAGAGGCGGGTAACAAGCTGAATGCACTCCAAGAAAACCCTTTCCCCTCCTCTACTTTCTAGAGGCCTCAGTAAGATGCTAAACGGTCATATCACTGCAAGCTGGCTGTAACTTGAAAACGGTACTGCTGACTATCCTACGGGTGCGCGTTCACCGGAGCCAAGCAACTTCAGCAGGGAGGGCCAGGCTCCCAGACGCCGGCCAGGAGGGGTTGGCCTGGGCCCAGAGGTCACACGCGGCCGCCGGGGCTGCAGCGCTCAGAGCTCTGCCGGCGGCTGCCCGGCCGCAGTCGCAAAAACCTGAGGGTGCCCGGCTGGGCCGCGAAGGAGAGGAGTAGGGAGAAGACCAAGAGGAGCGAGGAACCACTCAGAGAGACCAGAGAGCCCGAGGCCGCTGCCGCGTGGGCCGCAGAAGAGACGGTCACGTGACACCGACCTGCTGGTCCTGTCGCTGTTTCACATGCACGCCGACCACGGTGGCCACCGTCAGCACCACCGAGAGGCCCAGCACCGTCTTCGAGCTCCTCGACATCCCCGCGCGGGGCGCCGCGGCCTCCCCCTCCCACTCGCGCGAGGCCTCAAGGCGGCCGCAGAGAGCGTCGCTGCCTGCGCGAGCCAGGCCGTACACGTCGAGTGTGGAGTCCCAGCCGCCGCCAGGCGCGAGCAATCGAGAGCCGAGCGCCAAGCGGCGCCCCTATTCCACTGCAAGCGCGGCTTGGAGTGGGAGCCCCGGGACCGGAGGGATCCACTCCTTACTTTGCGGGCGGCCGGATTAAGACACTCTCACTTAAAATTCTAAAGAGCCCCAGCCCAAAGCTGGCCCCAGCACCTTGCTGGGTGGGGATGGGGTGGGGAGACCCATGCCTGAACCACCTCATTTTGTCCCCCCCACCAGCGACAGGGGGCATCCTGTGGGCGGCGCGGGATTCCCACTAGGGTACCTTGCTGTCTCAGGTGATTTACTCCATACTAGCTTCATCAAACGCAGCCTTTATTGTCCCCTTGGCAGGGTAGGTAACACCAGGAGATGGAATTTTGCTAGTTAAACGTAGACACTGTCAGCAACTTTTTCACCTTGACGTTGTGGGGTGGCTTCTCAGAGTCTGATTTTTGAAATTGAAAAACCTGGCTAAAGAGCATGCTAACTGGACAGCGATACCTCCTTGCCTCCTGATATGAAAAAAAACTGGTCACCTAATTGCCCATGTAATCCTTAAGAGGTCACTTTTACACCCTTAGAGCCTCAGTTTCCGCTATCTCTAGGACAGTTCCTGAGCCCAAGTCTCTAGGAACATAAATGATGGAATAAAGTAGCCTGTTGAGAATAGCGGAAAGTACTTTCAAAAGACGTAGAAAGACGTTTGGCTTTCTAATGAAGAGGTATTATCAAGTTATTCTTTCCCACTAGAATTTACAGAGAACAAACTTCTTCCTATGGAAACAACTATGTACGATATTGATTTAGGCTCGGTCTTGGTTATTCTCTCCCAAGGTCTTCGACATTCATCTCTGTAGTACTTTGCTCTTCCAAGCCTCTTATGCAAGCATAAATGGCACGATGTGCTATTGCTCTTAAGAAATGTAATATAATAAAAATTTTAATAATGAAAAAATTTTAAATACCCTTTTCAAATGTTATTTTGTCTGAAGCAATTTTTTTTTTTTTTAGCAGGGGGAATGTACCACTGAATTGGAAAACGGGGTTCATGCCCTAACAGACCTTGGAGTCAAAAGCAATTTAATTCAGGTTGTATCTGCATATTCTCTAAAGAAAAAAAAATACATTAGACTGGTTTTTTTTGCTAATAGTAAACTCCAGATACTCTTTCCATCTAAGTCAGTGAGCCTTCAACATAGCTATATATCTTTAGAAGGTACCCCAGAGAGTCTGATGGTCTTTCATTCTATCATGATTAATTTTTCAACTTGCCTTCTTGAATGTTTTATTCTACTTTTAAAAAATCTTTTATGTGTTAACTGTCAAATTAAAACATGGATTATCTGTTTAAATATTTATAAAACCTAAGCAGAATGTTTTGTGTGATTATTGTCTCATAAATTACTGAGTTGTGAGAAAATGACTGCATACCATCAAACATTGAAACCAACTTTTTTTCCTATTAATATAATTTCCATCTACTATAAGTACATTTTTAAGTGTTTGGAGTGTGTTTGAACAAAAGCAGTTTTCTGGGACAACTTAAAGAGTCTCTACTAATGAACATATTTTCAAATAGAAAATGTCTAGACTTGCTGATTGACTTTTTTTCCCAATAAACTTTTTGAAAATTTTTTTTTATTTTTATAACATATTTGGCATATGTTATTATATTAGTTTCAGGTATACAGTGTGGTGATGAGAGATCTATATAACTCCCAAAGTGATCACCACAATAAATCTATTATTGACTACATTCTTTATGTTATACTTTATATCTCTGACTATTTGTAACTACACATTTGTACTTCTTAATCCCTTTGCCCCAATACCCTCCCATCTGGTAACCCTCAAAATATCCTCTGCATCTATGAGTTCGTTTCCATTTTTTTGCTGTTGTTCTTGTTGTTGTTTATTTTGTTTTTAGATTCCAAATGTACATGAAGTCATAGGGCATTTTTCTTTCTCTATCTGATTTATTCTATTTAGCACAATACCCTCTAAGTCCATCATGAAATACCTTTTACTGTGTGTGTGTCTTTACAGTCTGTGTGTGTCTTTTAATCTGAAGTAAGTCTCTTATAGACTATATGTAAGGGTACTGTTTTCTTATCCATTCGGCCACCCCATCTTTTAATTGGAGTGTTTGATTCTTTTTCATTTGAAGTATTTGTTGATAGATACATAATTGCTGCCATTCTTTATTTATATTTTTGATCCTTATTTCTTCTTTTTCTTAAAGAAGTCCCTTCAACATTTCCTGTAATACTGGCTTAGTGGTGACAAACTCCTTTAGCTTTTTCTTATCTGGGAAACTCTTTATCTGTCCCTCAATTCCAAATGATAGCTTTTCTGGGTAGAGTAATCTCGGTTGTAGATCCTAGGTTTTCATCACTTTGAATACTTTGTGCCAAGTCCTTCTAGCCTACAAAGTTCCTATTGAGAAGTTGCTTTTCTCTTGCTGCTTTTAAGATTCTCTCTTTGTATTTAACATTTAGCATTTTAATTATGATGTGTCTTAGTGTGGGCCTCTTTGGGTTCATCTTATTTGGGACCCTTTCTGAAATTCCTGGGGTTGTATGTCTATTTCCTTTACTAAGTTAAAGAAGTTTTCCATTATTATTTCTTCAAATAAGTTTTCAATTTCTTGCTCTCTCTCTTCTCCTTCTTGTACACCTACAATGCTAATGCTGTTATGCTTGATATTGTCCCAGAGCCTCCTTAAACTATCTTAATTTTTTTGGATTCTTTTTTCTTGTTGCTCTTCTGATTGGGTGTCCTCTGCTACCCAATCTTCTATATCAGTGATTTGATATTCCCCATCATCCACTCTGTTGATTCCCTCTAATGTACTCTTCATCTCAGATAATGTATTCTTCATTTCTGATTGATTCCCTTTTATAATTTCCATTTCCATTTTTATGTTTCTTATCTCTTTGTTAAAGTTCTCTCTGAGTTTATCCACTTTTCTCTTAAGCTCCTTGAGCATCCTTATAACCAGTGTTTTGAACTCTGCATCTGGTAGATTGTTTAACTCCACTTTATTTAGATCTTTTTCTGGAGCTCTGTTCTGTTCTTTCATGTGGAACTTGCTTCTTTCTCTTCCCCATTTTGGCTGCCTTCTGTGTCTGTTTCTATGTACTAAGTAAAGCTCCTAAGTCTCCCAGTCTTAGTAGCATGGCTTTATGTAGTAGGTGTCCTGTGGGGCCTAGTGGCATAATTCTGAGAGGGGTTCAGCTGCAAACCAAGTTTAGCCCCAGCCTGTGCCCCTCCAGGGCCACCTGATAAGAGTCACCAAGAAATCCACATATGGATGCCACCCATGCTATGCTTATAGTCACCTCAAGAGGCCATGTCAAAAACTGAGGCTGGCTGTCGCCAGTACGGGGCTTGGAGCTGCTTAACAAGAGGCATAGGGCACACCGAAAACACCATTGGATGGGGCTTCGGTAGGGCCACAAGTTGGGAGGGGCAGAGTTTTAGGGAATCCTCTGGGTGGAGCGACCTCTCTCATCCAGTTTAATGATCACTCAGCTATGGCGGCACCTGTGTCCATACACTGGGAGGGGTAAGGGCTCAACAAAGGAACAATGGATACTTCCAGCACTTATGCGCAGGAGAAAGCCTCCCCTCTGGCCCTTGCCCTAAAGCCCAACAACTCAGTGTCCCTCACCCATATGTCCCTGGCACCCCTCAAGCAGATGCCCAAATGCTGGAGCTCAGAGTGAGCAAGTCCATCACCACCAAAGTCCAGTCATGGTTATGGTCCCTTTGAGAGGAACAGCTGCACCTATTTGCTGCTGCTGCCATCGCCTGTCTCGCTTAGCCCACATGGACTGAGGAGCCTCACGTCTCTGCCCCTCCTACCATACCAAGGTGATTTCTTATTTTTCTCCCTAGTTGTAAGGCTTCTCTGTTCATCCAGACCCCAGGTGACTCTGCTTGCTGTTTGCTCTGTGGTTTCATCATAATTTTGGTGTGGTTGCAAGAGGAAATGTACAAAGTCTCTACTCTCTATACCATTCTGACTGGTCTCTGCCCAATAAACTTTGACTGAATGTCCCAGGAGCAGTGTATTCCAGATACCCACCCCATCCCTTGAGCAGCTCAATGCCTGAAAGGAAGATAGACTGGTATATCAAATAATTACAATAAAAAGGACAGTTGACAAGTAGCAATTGTTATGAATTGCACATTGAAATCATAACCCCCATTCTTATGTTGAAATCATAACCCCCAATGGCATGGTATTAGAAGGTAGGACTTTTAGTAAGTAATTAGGTTTAGATTAAGTTATGAGGGTAGAACCCCTATGATGGGATTAGTGTTTTTGTAAGAAGAGAAAGAGACAGAGCACCTCTCTCTACCATGTGAGGACATAGTAAGAAGGTGGCCATCTGCAAACCAGGAAGAGATCTCTCACTAGAACTTGACCATGTTGGCACTCTTATCTCACACTTCCCAGCCTCCAAAACCGTGAGAAATAAATTTCTGTTGTTTAATACACCCATTCTATGGTATTTTTGTTATAGCAGCCACAGTTATGACAGCAATAAATTGTTCCCCAAAGTTAAGTGTGAGTGTGGATCTACTGTTCTAGAGTCAGTATCACCCAACACAGGGGAAGATTCAAGACCCAGTGTTCTGTCAGAATCTTCCAGCAACTCTCCTCCAGTAATCAGGTGCTGGCTGGTCTTAAATTCCTCACTCTCTTTCTCTCAGTGACAAATCATCTCTAATGCTGACTAAATGGAAAAGTTCTGCTTAGCCATTGGGACTTTGGGTGAAAGGTGCTCCTGAAATAATCACAGAAATAAGTACAGGTAGAGTTTTTACTACAAGGTCCAAGACTTTAAAAATAGAGGTCCACTCACCCACGAAGAGGGTAAAAAAAATTACTTCATAATCTTAGCAAATACTTAGCACATTCAGGCACCACACACATTTTAGAGCTGTTTATCCCTTAGCTAGCATCTCCCCATTTT